TGCAGCCAACTGGAAGGCAAATGCAGCTCAGGCACCACGGCAGGGGACACACAACACACACAGAAGACAACCCTGAAGCACCACCTGGTGAACAGGGGACACTGCAGGGCACGAGAGGACCTCTTCCCAAGACCACTACTTTCAATATCAGGAGACATAACTGAACTTCCTAACACAGAGAAACAAACTCAGAATTAGACAAAATGAGGAGACAGAGGAGTATGCCCCAAATGAAAGAACAGGACAAAATCACAGCAAGAGACCAAGTGAAACGGGGATAAGTGATACACCTGATTGAGAATTCAAAATAATGGTCATAAAGATACTCACTGGACTTGAGAACAGGCTGGAGGATCTCAGTGAGACCTTCAACAAGGAGACAGAGATTATTAAAAAAAAAATCAGAGATAAAGACCTCAATCACTGAAATAAAAAATATACTAGAGGGAATCCCTAGCAAATTAGAGGAGGCAAAAGAATGGATCACTGGGCTGGAAGACAGAGTAATGGAATGCAACCAAGCTGAATAGCAAAAAAACCTTAAAAAATGATAATAGATTAAGGGAACTCAGCAACATCAAGTATAATAACATTTGCACTATAAGAATCCCAGAAAGAGAAGAGAGAGATAAGAGGGCAGAGAATTTACTTGAAGACTTAATAGTTAAAAATTTCCTGAATCTGGGAAGGAAAAGAAATCCAGATCCAGGATCCACAGAGAGCCCCCAACAAAATCAACCCAAGGAGGTGTACACCAAGACACATAGTAATTAAAATGGCAAAAAGTAGTGACAAAGAATTTTAAAAACAAGAAGAGAAAAGACAACAGTTACATACAAGGAAAACCCCAAAAGGCTGTCAGCTAATTTTTCAGCAGAAACTACAGGCTGGACAGGAGTGACATGACATATTCAAAGTGCTGAAAAGAAAAAAACCTACAGCAAAGAATAATCTACCCAGCAAGGTTATCATTCAGAATAGGAGAGATAAAGAGTTTCCCAGACAGGGGCGCCTGGGTGGCTCAGTCGTTAAGTGTCTGCCTTACGGCTCAGGTCATGACCCCAGCTTCCTGGGATCGAGCCCCACCATCAGGCTTCCTGCTGGGCGGGAAGCCTGCTTCTCCCTCTCCCACTCCCCCTGCTTGTGTTCCCTCTCTCGCTGTGTCTGTCTCTGTCAAGTAAATAAAGAAAATCTTAAAACAAACAAAAAAAGAAGTGAAAATTGTCTTGTGCAGCTACTCTCTTTGCAGACCTAGTTTCTTTCCTGGGACAACCCAGATAATAGCTATGGCCCAAATAGGGCACTAGAGTTCACCCAAATGCGTGTGGTACTTCCAACAGCTGTTACACACAAATACTGTTAGTCCTGCTCCTGTTCTGGGCGTTTATGGTACTTCACAAAGACAGAGCATCAACAACAGGGACAAGGAGGAGGGAAAGTGAGATTTAAGTCTGTTATCCAACACTCACAGGCACTGCAGCGCAGTCATCGCTCCCAGCAGAAGAGAGCTGTTACTGAAAGACTCATTTACGACTGGAGCTGAAAGTCACCTCAGAACATAACCAGGGTTCGCATGGCCTGGGACCCAGTGTGAACACATACACACCAGGAGCCTATGCTCAGGTACTACACGCACACAAACACCCCAGAACCCAGTGTCTACACACACAACACAGAATTGAACATGAACACACATATACACAGAACCTTCCACGTGCACACACAATCTCATCAGAACACAATACAGTCACATACAAACCCTCACACCTAACAAGGGGGCAGACCTCTTAGAACCCAAATACATACCCATCAGAACCCCAAACAGGCAGATACCCCTCAGACCCAACACAGACACACACCCCTCACAACCAACATAGACAGACATACCTTATACCTAATAACAGCACACAGACACTTTAGAACCCAAACATGCACACATACCTCCCAGAATCTACCACGGGCACACAAACTTTCCTCAGATCCAATATGGGAGCTCCTCCTCAAAACCTAATCACAAAACCTCATAACCAATAAGGACACTCACCCCTCATCCCAACACAAACAGAAACAGCTTCAGAACCAACAAAGACACACAACCCTCAGACCCAACACAGGCATACAGACCACTCAGAACTCAACACAGAGCACACACCCTCAACTCAAAGCAGGAACATACCCCTCCTTCCAAATGAACACCTATTCACACCCCTCAATACACAACTTGGGCACAAAAATCCCTCAGAACCCAACATGAGTGCATACACCCCTCAGACACAACACAGGGACACACACCCCTTAGGTCCAACACAGGAGCACAAAGACACGTCAAAACCAACAGAGACACACAACCCTCACCCAATATGGGAGCACACCTTTCAGAACCAACACTGAACATACACACCTCAGACCCAACACAGACAGACAGAACACCTCTCAGAAACCAGCATGGACACACAACCCTCAGAACACAACACTGGCCCACACACCCCTCAGAAAAAAACATGGATATACAACCACTGGGCCCAACACGGGCACAGCACAGGAATACACACCCCTTAGAACCAACATAGACACACAACCCTCTGGCCCAGATGGGCACACTCCCTTCTCAGAAGCCAACACTGGTAAACACAGCCCATAGACCCACATGGGCACAGACCCCTCGATCCCATCACAGACACACTACTCAGAACCAACACAGACATGGTACTCTCAAGACCCAACACGGGCATACACGCCCCTCAAACAAGGGAGCACAACACTCTGAAGTCAACATGCACACACACACACCTCAGAACTGACACTAACACAAACACCTCAGACCTAAAATGGACACACACCCCACTGAGAAGCCACTGAGGTGCACATGCCCTTCAGAACCCAACATAAACACAACCCCTTAGAACCTATGCAGGCACACCCTCCTCAGACTCAACATAGGCACATACACCCCTCACAACCCACAATGGGCACACAACCCACAAGGGCACACTCCTCAGAACCTAACCCCAAGGCACACCCCTTAGAACCTAAAACAGGTATATTACCTCTCAAATCAACACAGACACACACCTGTAGAACCAAAACGGGCACAGAACCCTTAGACCTAACACAGGCACACACACCCCACAGAACCCCAAAGAGGCACACACACTCCTCAGAACCAACACAGACACATGACACTCTCACCCAGCTTGGGAACACATCCTTCAAAGCCTAACACATGCACACACCCCTCAAACCCAGGATGAGAGCACACCCTTCAGAATTAACACAAACACACACCCTCGGATCCAACACAGAGAGACACAGCTATCAGAAGCAACAAGGACAGACAGCCCTTTAAAACCAAATGGAGGGGCGCCTGGGTGGCTCAGTCGGTTAAGCGTCTGCCTTCGGCTCAGGTCATGATCCCAGGGTCCTGGGATCGAGCCCCACATCGGGCTCCCTGCTCCGCGGGAAGCCTGCTTCTCCCTCTCCCACTCCCCCTGCTTGTGCTCCCTCTCTCGCTGTGTCTCTCACTGTCGGATAAATAAAATCTTTAAATAAATAGATAAGTAAATAAATAAAATAAAATAAACCAAATGGAACCCAACGCTCAGATCCAGCACAGACACACCACTCAGAACAACACAGACGCCCAACCCTCAGACCCAGAATGGGAGTGCGCCCCTCAGAATCAACACAAACACATACCCCCTCAGATGCAACAGAGGAACACCCACCTCAGAACCTAACACACAAACACCCCTCAGACAAAACCCAGGCACACACTCCCCTCAGAACCCAGTAAGAGCATCATATGCCTCAAACCCAACACGGGAACGTACACACCTTCAGACCAACAAGGACCCACAACCCTCAACATGAGCACACACCCTTTGACCCAACACAGGATACACGGCTCAGAATCTAACACACTCACACACCCCCAGAAGCAACACGGACATGCAACCCTCAGACCAAAACAGGCATACATACTCCTCAAAACCCAATGGGGGCTTACACACCTCAGAACCAACACAGACATACGACCCTTATGGCCAACACGGTTGCATACACACCCCTCAGAACCAACAGGGTCTCACAGCCGCTAACCCTAACACAGCCTTCAGATACAAACAGACATACAGTCCTTGACACAACACGGAGAACACCCCTCAGAACGTAACACAGACACACAGTCCTCAGAACCAACAGGAACAAACGCTCCTCACACAGAACCACCTTCAGGCCCAACGGCACAAACACCTCTCAGAACCCAGAACCGACACGGACCCACGCCCCTCAGCACCCACCACGGGAGCACGCCGCGCGCCTCGGGACGGACGGCACGGCCGCCCCCAAACCCAGCACGGCCTGAAGAGCCCACAGGAACGCACAACCCTCACCCTCAACGCGGGAGCACACCCGTCAGAACCACACTGTAAGAATTCACAAAGGAAACTCCGTTTACAACGGAGTCCGGACAGCGGCAGGAGGGGCTCCCCCCCCCCGCTCCCCCTTGGTCGCCAAGCCAGCAGGAGCAGGGAGGCCCTGCGCGGCCGCGCCACTCCGCCACCCCTCTGCCAGCTCCCGGCCCACCCCAGCCGGCCCTGTTTGCAACCGCCCTCCCAGCCCCCTTCCTCTGTAAAAGAGCCTCCCCTCCTCGGGCCGGTGGCCTCCCCCATTTGCGTGTCCCACACTGCAATTCTCTGCTGTTCCCGAATAAATCTATCTGTGGGGGGGAACGACTGGCAGCGTGATTTTTAAGGTTAACAGCGTCCACGCACGCCCTCAGAACCGCCAGGCGGACCGAGCACCGCCCTCCACGCTCAACACGGGCACGGACACCCCTCGGAACCCCCCCCCCCCACGGTCCTCACACCCAACACAGGAGCACAACTCTCAAACCTCTCGGAGCCCAGCGTGGCACAAACCCCCCGCCCCAACGTGGACTCATCCCCCTCGGAGCCCGCGGCGGGCCGAGCGAGCGCGGCTCTCGCCCACCGGGGACGCACCTGGCGCAGCGCCGCCTCACCGGCGCCGCCCTCCCGCTGCCGGAGCTGCTCCCGGAAGCGCGCCACCTGCTCCAGCAGCGCGTCCACGAGCGAGGGCGCCGCGTCCCCCTCGAACGCGGCCAGGCGGGCGCGGAGGCGCTCAATAAGGGCGTCCCGGGCGGCCAGCTGGTCCTGCAGGAGCCTCAGCCGCTGCCCGGCCTCGTGGTACAGACCGCAGAGCGCGGCCGCCGCACGCGCGGCCCCCTCCTGCCCGCCGGACCCGGCGCCCCCTGAGGACATGGCCGCGGGCCTCGACCGGCGGGGGCGCGGACGCCGCCAACTTCCGCGCCGGGTCTGGGCGGGCCGCGCACCTTCCCGGAACTTTTCCCGGCGCGCCCCGCCCACCGCCGAGAGCCCGGCCCCACCCACTGCGACCGGCGTGGCCCCGGACCCGCAGACCGGTCGTCCCAGACCCTTCGACAGCCCGGCCCCGCCCACGGCGACCCGTCTGGCCCCGCCCCTGTCGACAGCCCCGCCCCTTCCCCCCCCGACAGCTTGGCCCCGCCCACAGCGGCCCGCCTAGCCCCCGCCCCCCTGCCGACCGTCCGGCCCCGCCCAGGACGACCAGCGTGGCCCCTGACCCGCGGAAAGTCAGTCCCAGGACCTCCGGCGGCCCGCCCCTTCTCCCGGCCCCAGGCTTGTGGCCCGGCGGTCCCGGAGTGCCCGAGTGGCGGGCTTGTCCCAGCGGCCCGCCTCCTCCCGCCGGCTTCCCGCCCCCCCCCGCCCTGTCCCCCCCTCCCCGGAGTCGGGGGAGTCTTCGGGGAGTCGGCCGGGTGGAGGAGGAGGAGGGAGGGAGGGTAAGGCCGCCTCTGATGCAGCTGCTGATGGGAAGGAAAGAAGGGGTCAAAGGCGACCTCAAGTGTTGGAGCTGTGCGTGTCCACGTCCCCGGGCTGCGGGCCAGGTTGGCCACACACAGCAACAGGAACAGGGCAACGGCCCAAGAGCTGGGCCCAGGGAGATGCCCCACCCCCCACTGCATGACAGCGACCCAGAGCAGGGCGCCGGCCCACGCGCCGCTCGCTGAGACAGTCTTGGAGCGGGAGGCAGGAGGGCGCTGCCCTGTCCTACCCGCACTTCTCCGTCCCTTTCCTTCCCCCACCCTCCCAGACCAACTCCCAGTGGCTTTCCGGCTCCACGCTGCTTTCCTTTTCAAAGTCTGAGCTTTCCCCCACAATGACGCCCAGGCACACCTGCGCTGTTTCAAAGGTTCCTCCCTCGCAGCCGCTGCGCCTTCGGCCCTGTCCCCATCTGGTTTTCCCCTTTCTGTAGTCCACTGCCAAGCTCGGGCTGGGCCCCGGGAAAACCCTGGCAGGTGTGTAAATCAGACAAGTGTATGAGCGAAGCCAGCTCACACTTCCTCTGCAGAGGGAAGGTCAGAGCCGTACCCTCCCTGCCTGGTCGGGGGTCTGAAAGGGTCCCCCAGCTCCTGGGATCCAGCTCTAGTGATTTCACCCCCTGATACCATTGTCACCATTAGGATATTACAGAAAGGTTGGAGTGTGATTCCTGCAGTGAAGTGGAAAGACGTTGTTGGCTACTGCCTTGCTCGCTCTTGGATCACCAGCTCTGGGGGAAGCCACCCACCATATCCTGAGGACACCAAGTAGCCCTATGGAGAGAGAACGGGTGGTGAGGAACTAAAGCTTTGTGCCAATAGCCAGCGCCAGACTTGCCCACCCTAGTCAGCAAGCTTCCTTGGAACCGCTGCCTCCAGTCCAGGCAAGCCTTTGGGTGATGCAGCCCCAGCCTACATCTTCCCTGTGACCCTCATGGGACACCCTGAGCCACAACCACTCAGAGAAGCTGCTTCTGAATCCCTGAGGTGTGCGTAGTTTGTTACGCAGAAGTAGAAAACGAACACGTAGTATATTACGGTGTGCCTACTGAGGCATGGGACAGCACCCCAAAGCCAGATACATTAAAATGTCTCCAAAGACGACTACTCAGACGGAGATAAAGAAAGACGATGAAAAGCCTTACAGCTTTCAAGTTAGATTTCTCACCAACTTTAAGAAAGACATTTTGAGTTTCCAAGCTTTGTGGATCTCAGAATTACGGAGGAGGGATGGCAGACTTTCCACAATAGGCGTCCTACAGGGTGTTGTGAGGGTTCTTAGGTTAACATCCTTCATAGTGTTGTTAACAACATGCCAGTGCCTTCAAACTAAAATCCAGGTACTGAGTCAGGCACTGGGGATTCATGGGCAAGCACTCCGATGGTGGAGACAGACCCTCTTTCAAAAGAAAAAAGAGGGCGCCTGGGTGGCTCAGTTGGTTGGGCGACTGCTTTCGGCTCGGGTCATGATCCTGGGGTCTCAGGATCGAGTCCCGCATCGGGCTCCCTGCTCAGCAGGGAGTCTGCTTCTCCCTCTGACCCTTCCCCCCTCTCATGTGCTCTCTCTCTCTCTCTCATTCTCTCTCTCTCAAATAAATAAATAAATAAAATTTTAAAAAATCCTCAACTTCCTTTAAAAAAAAAGAAAAAAGAAAAAGAAATGAAGGAAGGAAGAGAGGAAGGGAGGAAGAAAGAAAGAAGTTGCAAAGTAAGTAAACTTTGTACAGGAAAGGGGGAGGGATGTGTAAGTAAATAAATAAGGAGCAAACAAGGAGAAACGGGAGGGCAGCCAAACGGAGGGGAGTTCCAGCGGCAACCTAAGGCACAGAAAGGAGTGAGTCCCAAGCAGAGGAAAATGTGCCTGGGGAGAGTTACAGGGGCCGACACCCTGGCCAGAGTGGGGCCCAAACAGCCTCTGGCAGCAGCTGTGCCAAGAAGGGGCATGAGGAGGGGCCAGCCAAGCACACCCACCCAACAGCGGCCGATCAGGTTGGCTGCTGGCGGGGCTTAAGCCGCCACATTTGCACACACCTGCTGTGAGGTCCCCACCCCATCCCCAACCAAGCCCTTCCCTTCCCAGTGTGTTCTTAATGCAGAGTTCCCACTTGGAGGAAGGTGGCTTAGTCAGCTCGGGCTTCCATAACAAAATGCCACAGATGGGAGGCTTAAACAGCAGGCTTCACTTCTCCCATTTCTGGAAGTTGGAATTCCAGGTGCCAGCCAGTCTGGTCTCTCCTGGGCTGGCACAGGTCCCCCCTTCCCCGTGAGTCCTCACAAGGCCGTTTCTCTGCGTACACACATCCCTGCAGTCTGTCTTTCTCTTCTTAAAAGGACACCAAGTCCTGTTGGATCAGGACCCCACCCTAATGACCTCATTTAACCTTAATTACCTCCTTAAAGGCCATGTCTCCAAATACAATCACATTCAGGGGGTAGGGCTTCAACACATGAGTTTTGGGGGGACACAATTCAGTCTATAACAGTGGGGATGCTACTGAGTAGCACAAAGATACTTTCTACTCTTTTGTAAGGTGCCCAACACACAAAGGAAGGCTCCCTCTGCCTTTGGGAGAGGGAAAAGGTGAAGCACAGACGGACAGGGGACAGAGAGTGACCGTCAAGAGCCTGGGTGTCACAGCACCTGGGAAGGTTGTCCGGTCCTGTTGTACCTGCCGTGGCCAACGGAGGAAGAAGCAAACCCTCTGCCTCCAAGTGTCTCCCTACCTTCTCAGCCATGCTAGCGCAGACGGTAAGCTGTCATGCGGACTATTATCTCTACCCTGTGCTTTTTTAGGGTGCCCTTGCTCCTGGTGCACTGGAGCAGCAGAAAGAGCACCAGCCTGAGGAGAGAGCCCTCAGACCCAGGGCTGACGTGGCCACTGCCCACTCTTCTTATCCTCTCTGTGGGTTGGCCCCCCCGCCGCTCTCCACTCCTCACCCACTAGCCCGAAGAACTCCTATGCCCAGCCCTACACCCACTGTCCATACTCACGTGACCTGAAACAAAGATCTACTAAGCCTGGCCCACAGCGGGAGGTGATCCGTGACCTAAAACAAAGATCGACGAAGGCTGGCCCACAGCGGGAGGTGATCCGTGACCTGAAACAAAGATCGACGAAGCCTGGCCCACAGCGGGAGGTGAAGCCTGGCCCACAGCGGGAGGTGATCCGGGGAGCATTGGGTTTCCACGCCCTGCGGTTATGCAGGGCTTGGATTTGTGCAATAAAGGATTAGCATGCAGGTTTGGGTGCTCAAACTCTGCACACACTGGGAAGAAAGAAGGGGCCCTGGACCCTCTCCTGGGAGATAGTCTCTAAGCCCTTGGAATGTTCTGTCTGATAAGATCTCTTTGCTTACCCGGAGGCCTCGGGCCACACCACATAGTCTGTGCGAGAATGAATCTCACTGACACAACAGGGCGCAATGAAGTGCAAGTTTATTAAGGTGAGAGCAGAAAGGAAAGGAGAAGATCCTAGAGCGAGAGGGGTCCCAAATGGGTTGCCATGGAGGGCATTTAGGGGCAGTCTTTTTCTTGAGAACTGACCGGGAAGCTTGTGGCCTGGAGATTCTTGTGCTGTCTTGGTTTGAGCACGGATGATTGATAACACCCTTCAAAACTTAATTCTTTGAGGTTTGATCATTCTCTGTGATACACTGTAGCGGCCAAAGAAAAATACTCCGGGGCGCCTGGGTGGCTCAGTCGTTGAGCGTCTGCCTTCGGCTCAGGTCGTGGTCCCAGGGTCCTGGGATCGAGCCCCGCATCGGGCTCCCTGCTCGGCGGGAAGCCTGCTTCTCCCTCTCCCTCTGTCCCTCCCCTGCTTGTGTTCCCTCTCTTGCTGTGTCTCTCTGTCAAATAAATAAATAAAATCTTTAAAAAAAAGAAAAAAGAAAAAAGAAAAATACTCCGGACTGTCAGAGGCCATGTGGTCTGTTTCCTTATCTCTTGCTCGCTCTGGCTTAGTCCTTCTGCCTGCCAGGAATAGTCTCAGAGCCCAGCCGGGGGCCCCTCCTCTCCCTGCCTATACCTGTATCCTTTCCTTACTGACGGTAGGATTTCTGGCAGGGCCAGGGGGCACGATGTACCCGCTTGACCCCTGGAGGGGCTGAAGACTGGGTGGCTAGGGCCAGTCACACTGGTTCTCCACAGCAACATCAAGGCTGGGTGAGCTTCCTGGTGGGCAATGAGACAGAACACGGACTGGACTCAGGTCCGCCATCCCTGACCCCCACATCCAGCATTCTTTGGCTACCGCCGTAAGGAAAAACAAAGAAAAGCTAAACCTCTATGTTCTCGAGTGGTGTATCTTGCAGGAATGCAGAGGGAGGATGCTTACTATGACACTGGTGAAGATGGGACCAAACCAGTTTGCACCAAGATGGACCCCAGCGCTGACCTTTCCCCGACTTTTCCCCTCATTATAATACTAAAAATCATGCCCGGGGTGGAGATTTAACCTGCTAATT